GTACTAGTGATAGTGGAAGTTCTAAGGAATAATATAGTATACTGAGATAGTTTATTAATTGTGATAAAAGCGCGTGATATCGCCTTGACGTTGACGCGCTGGTGGGGCGCGACCGATTCGCTTGGGCAACCGATTCGCTTGTGAACCACGTTATTGGAGAAAAATTATAAACTAATAAATCTAAGCTTGAGTTTGCTAGTAATTGAGAATTTTTCAAGCTATGATATACATTTCATAAACAAGAATATCGATACTTAGAGTGACCGAAAGCTCCCAACATTTCTCAGACACTTGTTGGATTGACTGTAACATGGATCACCAGCAGCTTGCGCTCTAATAATAGTTAATGTGCTCATGATCCTAAGATTTCCAATCAATTGATTCTCGTCATGTCACCTACTGTTGTAACATTGAAGGCTAGATCACCATATACCCAGACTTCGATGTGTTGGCCGCGTGATTGTGGGCATGTCTTACCGGTTCGAGGATGCCCTTCAAGCATCCAGTTCGTAATGGTATAGTGTACCAGGATTGCTTCGGTCCGCAATTTAATGAGATGTGAGACTGTAGTAATGGAAGGCTGGAGTGACGGTAGTAGCTGGACCAAATAGAACAAAGACCGAAAGTTATAAGTATGCATACATCAGTGAGATCTGGATGCATCACTCTTCATCCCATCTCAAGCCCAAGTTACCTTCACAAAACACACAAACATTTATCAAAGATGCTTTCCATCCTCGTTCTCACGACCACTTTCGCTGCTGCGGTATTGGGCAGCCCTTATAACCAGCCACCGACGCCTACCATTACTCCTGCACCTGAATTGGTAATGAAAGTTCTTCGAAATTTAGTTCCATGATATGCTAATATATCGTTCCGTCAATTTAGGTTGTACGTCAATGTGGTGGCGTGGCTACCCACGTTGTCGCAAAGGGAGAAACACTCTCAAGAATTGCCGTTGGGCTCGGGGTTGGCGTTTGCAATATCGCTGCATCGAACCATATCGAAAACACTAACACCATCTACGAATCGCAAACCCTCACCGTAAGACCTTCTGGATGCGAGGCTGTTAATAATGGACCTGCATGCACGCTCATATCCAAGCTTGCATCAGTCCACGTAGCTGTTGCTGGGGATACCTTGTGGAAACTAGCTGTTGCTCAGGGTATTCCGCTGGCTTCCATTCTTGCTGCAAACCCACTTATTGCAAGCAATGCGATCCCTGTCGGGCAAGCGATAGTTATCCCAATAGCACTCTAGACAGTCGGTTTCGACACATTGTGGATTGAGCTACAGGGAATGGAACCGAGAAAGTGATGGATAAAGGGAAAGCGGAGTAGAGGTTGGGTTAAAGCGGGTAGTAGTGGGTCCACCGCAGGGCCATAAATCAGCTCTCAAGAGCTGGTGTCAGGACTTGGCGCACAATAACGGACTGCATAGCTAAATTCATCCTACTTTCCCGTGAGAGCCGCTAGACACATGCGAGAATTGAGCTTTATCATGCAAGTGATTTAATAGCGCACCAAATTACCTGTACACGTTTTACGATTTCATTTGTCAATTGTAACCGTTGATGAGACAAGAGCGCCCGGCAAGATGCGTAATACCTACTACAAGTAGCCAGTGCGTGTGTTATTACCACTGGTGAGAGCAATGCCGTTTGGAGGAGAACGCCAACTATAGAATCACAATCCTCATCTGTAATGTCACCCACAAAAGTATAGGAAACCGCCGGACTGAGACAGTACGACGATGCGATATCTATTTCGAAAGCAATCGAAGCGAACATGCCACAGGATACACTATCGCCTACTAACACTAGATTAAAAATAGGATCAACCTCAACATCTTCTTCAGCAAGGGTGTCATCATCAGTATAAGTCGTGAAGTTACGTGTATTCTTGCTATAAGACTCTTGCGCCTCAACGAGTGACACAAGGCCCTGGTCAAAGTATACTCGGCTAATGCTGGCGCTGTTGCCACATTTTAATGTGTTTTTGGCGTTCAAAACAGCACCGAGATGACTGATAACACGCATGTGGTTCTGCATATATGTGTAAGCGTTTGATAGGAGAAGGAAAAATAGACTCGATCTTACCATCCGACCAGTACAATGTCCTAAAAATATGGTGCCACGGGTGCCAACACCATTATCGTCGGAAATGTTGATACCGCGGAAAGAGGTGGCGTTGAGGTTCGATTCATCGGAGGAATCGCCGTTGCCGTTTGCGACAACCCTAGAACGTACATCAGTAGAGTAGCAATGCCATGCCTCAAAATATATACGAGCGATTGGTTCGCAAGTGTCAACGTCGACGATTTGGATATCAACAGTGAGGGATACATCTAGCTCGCCGTCAGTTATGTTCCGGTGGATCAATTTGCTTGAAATTCAGTAGGGACCCTGAGTCATCTCTGACAAAAGTGAACAGTTTTCATTGCTCGAGGATACAACTGACGGATCTGCATTGCAATTGATGGCAGAAAAACTGAATATATGGTGTGTGGGAAGCACGATATTCAGATCGCGCGCTTGAAGGTATTGCTTCGCTATGATTGATTAATGTTACGGTTCAGTCTCATAACGGTGCATCGAAAGCTCACCAGTACTAATTAGCGCTCTCTCTCTCTCTCGGAACTTCTCGACCAAGGAGAGACGACGATTATGCAAATCAACATCATTTCCTCTCGCTTCCAGCGGATCCGTGTGATGGGTCGGAGAGATTTTGTGCATGCTCAGACTCCCACTGCATTCTCCTGCTCCCTATTCCATCTTGGCATTACTCTGGACGGAATGCGCCGTTGCAAGTCAGTAGACACTGAGAAGGATAGCAGCAACGAAGACCTTCATTTCGTTTGGGCACTTAGTAGAAGTATTTCAGAAAGCAAATGCGAGTGCGTAGTGATCGATCTTGGGAAAATAGAAACCGATTGGACGTGCTAAGTGATTGGTACTCTTGACAGCTTTTATACTGGCAAGTTGAGAGGAAAGGTATTGCAAGATCTAAGAAGTAAAGTTGGATATATTCATACCCCATACTCGGTGTCGCTTCATCGCTGCTCATTGATACTCATCGCTACTGCCAATGAGGCTACAATCAAGAAGCTAAGGCATTCAATTCATTTCCTTGATTAGCTCAACAGTCCTCTTACGAGGATGTTTCGTGCCTTTTTCTTTCATTCTTGCCTGGTCACTGCAGGACCACTGCCGTCAAAATACCTGAAACCAAGATTCCGAGCCGTTCCATTCGTATTCTCGGTTGGGTTTGGCATCTTTCCTTCATGAGTTGATGCATAATGGGTAATGTCTAGTTTACACGCCACATCTCGGCCAAAACACTACATTGTGACCTCAATGTTATCGATCTTAGCCAAGGGTTTTGACAAGAGAAAGTTTTTGGTCATTTTGGAGGTTGCGTATCTTCTGGTTGTGTCATCGTCACATTGTGTTGCCGGTAAGGTGTTATATTATACGAGAATACAACTAAATCTTCAGCCTCGCACGCTAGAGTGTTCCCAAAAGCTTGATCATTCATTCCCAGAAATTGCGACGCATCGCATATTATCACGCGTGAAGAGATGTCATGCAAATCCATGCATATCACAGCAACGTTTTTAACAGCGAAAAATGAAATAAATGATACAGAACATGGGTATATAATCTATTGAAGATTTGTAGATGCAAACGCGTGTTCAGTGCTCAAGAGGGTCAGCCTATACTCTTTCTGAGGCTATTGTTCTCCTGACTTATGTAGAATATTGCCATTAGGTAATGAAATGCCTTTCATGAGGTCTATCTATGGAAAACATCCCGCTTTAGCTCATCAGACATTACGAAGTTCGTCCATCCATCTATATCAACTCAGTAGTGGTGCTGGAAAAATAACATAAGGGATGCTTACTGTGGTTAGCCTACCAGGGACCGCAGGTGATATTCGGCAAGTTTGATTCATTGCAGTATATTTCGATGCCGAAGAAGCAGAAATTTGGCCCTCGGGTCGCTTTCCCCCCGCAATCACCAGCATTGTTGGTGCATTTAGCTCCATCGGTCCCCACAATAGTGCAACAGTAACAGTCGGCATTGATCGATGTAATCATCAAGGTAAACAAGAATGGCTAGCAAATATAGTTTTTTATGACGGGAGAGAACATCAGAAAAGTCACGAGGTTTACTGTTGATATCTGATTTTGGTAGAGGCAGTCGATTAAAACAGGGATAAGAAATCTTTGTCTTGGCTAAGGTGGGGAGGATGGGACTTGGTTGAAGACACAGTCTGCTACAGAAAGCATTCCTTTGAGTTGTTTATGGTTTACAAATGATGGGACATGTAAAATGTAGCCTAATAGCGTGCCTAATCGCTGCCATCATGAATACAAATGACATCCGAGGAGAAGTTGGGAGTCGAGATCGTTTCTTTTCCGACAACAGTTGAAGTTTTCAAATACATTAATACTCTCTATCTATCGGCCCCAATCATGAAAGTAGGCCTATTATGTCATTTCATTGGTCGGGAAGAATTTAAGTGGTGTAGAAGCTCTCCGCGGAATACGGTCAAGATTTTATCAGCATAACTTTTGAACCAAAGCGACTCTGCTTCAACTCCATTAGTTTAAGCAATACAAGAGTTTAGCAGGTCAAATAAGTTACGAAATTCTGTTTCGATTATGAGTGAGAATGTGGCATCACTAGAAACTATGGTAACAATAAGCGGGCTCAACTTTGAGTAATTCTATATTTATCCTATGGAAACGAATGTATAGCTATAGTAAGCCTAGATATATGTGGTTTGCGCCTTTCTACCGCATCAAGGTATGAACAGCAATCCCGTGGCTGTAATCGTGCTAAAGATATAATTACCAGATTTTAGTCATCGGTGCTAACGGTCATCTTGTATCCAACCTCTTAGTAATAGCATGCAACTATCCACACTAATTATACACATCGCTTATGCATTGCCACATGGTCCCACAGAGCCACAAGGGTCCTTTGACGTATAGAGAAACAATCCGACTCTCATCGTGGCTGCTTTTACGATATCATAATTGCTGGAGAATCTGGCAGTGGTTTTATGTATGCGTTCCGTAAATGTAGCAAATACTTAGGATCTCTCCATTTCAGTAATATGTTCTAGAAATGAGGCCCCCAGTTTTTTGTCGATCGAGCAACAAGGAATTCCCGCATGTGTTGGAAGGTGCCTACTGATCCGCTTATGAATCAATCCATCCCTCTGTCAAGTCATCGCATCGGTCTAACTTGCAATCATTGCTTGCTATCACTACAGTTGCGATTAGTGGAGACGCTCAATACAACGACTAGCACGTCAGGAATTCACCTCCCGTGTGCATAATATATAATTATGGGTTGAGACTGTCGTTTATGAGGATTAGATCTATAGTCATGGATAAATAGTCTTTATCTTCACCGTCCCCATACGCGTAAGCTAGGACCTTGGGAAAAACCTCCAGTGTCCCGGCGCTGCACATTCGGAATAGTAAAAATTGCTATCCAACATCACCTAAAAGAGGGAAATCCATTCGATGTGACGAGAAATGGCCCTCATTATTGCTCCATGCTCATGATCTTAACCTGGGACTACGATGCTTGTAGCATTCACAACTTATACGTCTTAGACCTCTGCGAAATATTCATTCAAAGCTATTACTACGCTTAGAAGTTTGCTGCAAAGATTTCAGGATGCAATATCTGGTCTTTTCTGACTTTGTTCTCCGAGGTTTGGCGTTTCTCGCAGGCAGATAAAGCATTTGCACATTCATCACAAATTTTCCAATGGAGTTGGCCCACCTGGGTAACACTGGCGGTCACACTACGTGAAACTGGAACTTATGCCGAAAGGATTAGATGTGGGTGTCAACGCACGCTAGATCTAACGGAACAGAGCTACTCTACCGGTACCAGAGTAAAAGTATGCTTGACGCCGATGCATCACGTTGATAACTGAGCTCGTCTATTGCCCACTCTCTCACCGATCACGGCTTGCTCCGATGCCACATCTCAAACCACAGCTGCACTTACACAATGGTAAGTGTTTCCCAGCTTGAATATATTAGTAAAGTTCTCTGATAAGACAAGACCCCTGACACATGAATGGGGTATCGTCATCGTACGCATCGGTTATTTCGACAAAGACGATGAAGCTCACTAGATTGTCGCCTCGCGAAAGCTATGGGTTTACGAATCCGCATCCAGTCACAATATGGTAATAGCCCCTTATATTACTACCCTGGCGTAGCCTCTCATAGTCGGCAAGCCCAAGTTCCGCGACCCGGACTGCGTGGACCGTGCGCAAAGCCTTCAATAAGATTGCCGTAAGATTTTTCTGGCCGCAAAATGAATTACCTGTACGGGTTAGAAAACAAAGTTGTTGATATACGAGAGCTATCCAGTCTTTGCTGGGTCGGGCTTCGGTATCAGCAAATAAGCTCTATTCTGGCTGAAAGAGGCTGTATGTTACCGGATATCGATCTGTGATTGGCTGGCAGATTAATCACGCTCCATAAGGAGAGAATTATTTCACCTATCTGGCACCGCCACATACTAAAACCTTAGGTTCCCAGCGTGTACGGCAATGACAATTGAGGTGACGAGTGCTCGTCTGATGTCCGCTGCGACGTCTGTTTCGTCATCGATGACGCTGCTCTGGCTTGGCTATTCTTAACCCTAAACTTGAATCATGGGTTGTTGTGGTTGATGCAAAGCACCCGGCAATCATGCCTTAAAACGACAGTAGGTCTTGCATGCGCTTAACGAGAGCGAATGAATGCGTTCTGTGTGACCCCCTCAGACGATCTTGGCTGTCGATCTTTGGGGTTGCCGGGTCCCGTTCGGGCATACAACGGCCAGAGTCCACTTTACGACAGATATAGGAAGGTGAAGCTCGTTGATCCTGTTGGTGGAGTCCATAGACGATAAAATTTCCAAGGCATGCCGGAGGGGGACAGAAATTGTGAGGGTGATGCTAGAGGAGGAGGCTGAGTGGGCTTTGAGTGATGTGGATGACTCTTGCTTCTAGGTGGCTGCTCCGAAATTTCAAAATTGACCTGGACACTGACCTATGTGAGACATTGGATAGAGCAGTAAATTAAGAGAACAATGCATTCTGTTACTCCTAAAACTAAGCGTACGAGATCTATGACTCTCAAAAATGCTTAACCCCAGTCTCTGGGTTTGCAAGATGAAGGTAGTGTTTGATCATCATCTCTGAACAGGTTTAATCTTCACCTTAAGCTCTGGTTTGTCCCACAGAGTGTACACTTTCTGATCTATCCAGTTTTTACTCTCAGGGCATATTTCAAGATCGTAATGCCACAGCATCATAGCAGCAATGATACGCATCTCATGATGTGCTAGGCTGTGACAATCCGTTAATATCGATTAATTCTTGGGCCAATAGGATACCTACTTCTTTCCAATACAGTTACGTGGTCCAAAGGAAAAGGGCTGTAACACGTCTTTCCTATCTGTGTCGTATCCGGAACCAGGTAGCCATCGCTCAGGGATAAAGTCTTTTGGATCTTTGAAGTTCAAAGGAGAAGAATAGGCAGCTTTTTGGGACACAGCAACGCTTGTCTGTATCGCATTATATCGTTAGCCTAGCCGGAGAAATGAATGCGTACGTATGTGATTGGTCTTTACCTTCTCTGGCACCCATTCGCCACATATGGAACCGCCTCCCGGTGGCACTACTCGAGGTAGGCCGATTGGTACCGGTGGATAGCATCGAAAGGCCTCCTGAAAGCATGCACTCAAATATTGCAGACGTGGCAACACCTCAAGCGTCAGGTCTTCCTGTGGCAGGGCACGCACTTCTTCAACGACTTTCTTCATCTTGTCTGGATGCATGAGCAGCAAATAGGTCAGTCCGCTTAACAATGTCGCTGTTGTTTCGGTGCCAGCGACCATGAAGGCTGACGCGTTTGCATGCATCTTTGAGAGAGGCAATTGAACTTTCTGATTTTCTAGAACAAGCTTCCAGATATCAGATTTACCGATGTCGGTCCCTTTCGCAAGTCGTTTATCCACGCGGTCGGCGGCGTGCCGGAAATGTTCGAGGTCTTTACCGCGTAGAGATGGAGGCATCAATGCTTTCATGACGAGCCCCAATGCAGGGTACTGTTTTACCAGGCGAGAGAGGCAAAGGATTTTGATACTCTCAAACACTGCTCTGACCCATGTCGTATATTTGCCCGTATCTAACATACCTAACGGCTCCCCAAAGGTGAGATCTCCCATAATGTCAAAAGTTGTACAATTGTACAATCTCACAAGATCAATGTGAGTCTCTGGGTCTGTAGCCACATTTTTGTCAATGATCTTCTTCAGTTTGTTGACATAGTGAGCGATGAGAGGCTCTTGAAGTTTCAAGGCCTTGTCGCTAAATGCGTTGGTGAATACTCTGCGGACCCGACCGTGCGATTCCGATGTTGGTTCCGTTGCAACATTATAATCGCCATTTACGTCAGGACTGTAGGCCTTCGGGTCTTTTAGGAATTCTGCGCGTCCACCTGCACGGTGACCAGCAATATCTTTCCATGCTTGGGGAGATATATAGCTCAATTTTCCAGGAGCATATCGAACAACTTCACCATATTTTTCATGGCATTCAGTGATCCAAGAAGATTCCTCGCCACGGGTCAGGCGATAAAAGAGATAGAGGTTCGTCGCAGCCGCAATTTTCGGACCAGGAACTAAGTTTCCAGTCAGCACGCGAAAATTACTACGGTGCAATATACAGTTACTTGCATTTTTTCAAAGGGTGAAGGAAAAGATTGTAAGCGACACCTAGGACCAATCGAAGAACAATCTATGATTTTCAGTCATGTTGAGACGTAATTGAGTTTGCCCCTATCTTACTATGGCACCTATCGCAGGAAGATACAGGAGGAGATGCTCTTGTCGGATTGCGCCAAGATTAAAATCAAACTTTGATAGGACTGTCATGATTATGACTGAGACAACGGTGTGCGAGGAGGCCGGATTGTTGAGGGCTGAAGGGACTCATGTTCTGCCTCGATTTATACCGGTTTTTCAGGCACATTCACCTCTGTCCTAAGTAACATAGATGTCCCTGCCCCGGATACGCTGATATCCGCTTCCTTGCTCATGTGAGTGGCGGGTGCGGCTGTGCATGAGCCTGGTCTTGTACTACTATCGTTACATGCGTTGCATGAACCCTCAACTGATTTGCGTCATACTTTCTTTCAATTATAGCAGTATTCAATTAGCTCGGACGTGTCATAATGGACAACAGTGTGGACTATGAGTGGACTACTTTGTGATCTACGTTATAGCTCCAGTTTTTAGCGTCGTACATACGCTGTTAGTGGCGGAATTGCCCATCCGTTCATCTGGAAGCCGGCATTGTTGACTTCCGTTCTCCACCGGCCATCGATCATATACGACACACGACTTGGCAACCAATGGTTGCAGCTCAGTTTGTATTTAAAAGGGGCCGTTCTAGACAAACCAATGCTCGGAATGGTTGAAAACGGCTTCCGATAGTAAGCTGGTGATCGGGACGGGCCGGTACATGTTACGCCGCCAGCCTTCAAGACGCCTCCTCATGACTTGGTGGATAAGCGAACGTTGCTCTCTAAGCGAGCACTGTCCTCGAAGCGAGCACTGTCCTCGAAGCGAGCCCCACCTTCTGCAAACTCTGTGCACCACCACTACCTGTTTGCTGAGTGGCAGCGGCAGACGTTCTCGTCTTGGCATATCTTGGTGTGATTGCGTCTAGTGTGGCGTCTAGTGTGGCGTCTTTAATTAGCTTTCCAATAGCCTCGTGATACGCTGGCAGCGAGAAGTTATTGTACGTAGTTGTGGCCAATGGTGTAAGCTGTCAGCACATCATTAAGATGTGCCGATAATGACCTTGCATTAGACCCAACGTACCTGCTTTGAGTCAGCACTAGCGTTAATATCCTAATAACTTAATCTTACCTCTATCTATCTACTAGTTACTCTATGTGTGAATTCCGCCTTTTCGTAGTATAGAATCTGATCCAATTTCTCACAAGTAAAACAAACGTCGAATATCTTTGTCTTGAATTTAATTGATGTTGTGAATCCCATGAGCTTGTTGTAACAGCGTCGATGTGTCTCGAATGTACTCATGCCCTTTGCTCAGACCTTTTTCAGGATGAATATAATGCCCGAACGCGTGCGGCATTCCTAGATAACATTTCTGAGTTACAAGGTTTCCACTGCTTTCCAGTAGCTTGCCATATTGATGCGCTTCGTCTCTACATATATCAAACTCAGCGGTTACAATATGTGTTGGCGGTAGTCTTTCAAAAGACCTGGCCAGCATCGGTGAAGCCATCCAGTCATCACATGCTGCTCTTCTGATATCTGTCTTGTATCAGTGGGCCGTGTTAATGTCGAGATCACGATGGCACATACCGTTGGGGATCCAATAATCTAAGAACCACTGCTCTCTTTTCAGGCCTCCCCAAGGTGCATCCTTGTATTGCGCCGTACTGGGATAACGCTTGGCAATCGCTGATCGTAAGGGCTCTTCAGCAATGAGCCACCTAAAGTCAGTCGAAGGCACAACTAACAATGCCAGTTTGAGTTCTAGTCCCGCATCGCGCGCCATGTGCGAAAGAACTGCTGACATGTGACCACCTGCCGAGAGACCACCAATCGACACACTAGTGGCATCGATGTTCAAATGATCGGCATGAGCTAGGACCCATTGAAGTGCATCCCAAGAGTCATATATGGCTGTGGGAAAAACGAATTCTGGGGCGAGGCGGTAATCTACGTCGACAATGACAATGCTAGTGTTATTACAAACACTTCTGCACCAGGCTGCTTCGCTATCGAGACCACCCAGAACCCATCCGCCTGGCTTGATATCAGAAAGGTAAATCGTAAATGGCAACTGGTCCTACCTCCATGATAATTAAGATGTACCGGAAAAGGTCCCTGTCCCTCTGGCGTGTACACGCGGACTTTGATATAACCAGCAGGTTGGCTTACGGAAATTTCAAACTCTGTCTCCTTGAACACACAATGACCTTTTCATTGTCAGCAAACGAATCATTGGGGGCGCAGTGCCATGCTTGCCTGACCATGTTGGATATGTGAAGCTGTATGCGAGTGGCTTTCGACGGACTTTTTCGATTGGTACTTCCTCAGCTTGACGATGGTGCCCTCCATGTGCGTTCCAGACGCGAACCCATTCCGGGTCGAGTCTCGCAATCCACTCTTCTGGAGTGCGATACGCTTTGCTAGACTCCTCGTCTGCTACTGATGGTATTTTTACGGTCATACTTCTTGATATGGTATTCCTCAGTACTTGATCAACTGTACTATCAATTCAAGGGATATCACTTGTCTTGTAACAATAAATGTCGGAGAGATTGTCAAAACAACATTTCTACTATGACATTTTGACAGGTAGGTGGACATGTTTGTCACCCCCGATCTGACCATTACTCACGCATCGGATCTGATAGGAATGCCAAGCCGGGAGACCGCGCTCCTATCAGCACACTGGACCAACGATAAGCGTCCACAAATCGTTCTGAATGGGACCCTGCCCAAATGATCTGGAAGCCGAAGTCATACATAGTGAATCTTGGATATTACGAAACTTGAAGTGCCAAGCATATGCAAGTGCGGAAAAATGGACGGGAAACTTGACGGGAAAACGAATGAGCCCGTGCTCCACCATGTAGTGGCTATGTTGTGGCGTGACCAATGTGCACAGCTCAGCCAGCGCAAAATCTCGTCTTACACTTTTGGAGAATAGAGATCAATAGGCATCATTGGTATAAAAAGCGCTAAACAAGCAGCGACTCTCAGAAGTAAACACATCAGCCCTGCAAAGCTTCGACGGTTAGAGCAAAGAACAGCAAATATGCAAGACTCAATAGTCATTGTTGGGTATGTTACTTTCATAAACC